CCGGGGGTCTCGGGTACCTCTGTCACCTTTTTGACGTTTCGAAACGCGGGCACCAGTTGCAGTTAGGGCCAGACGCTGGGGAAAGCCGTAGGAAGTTGGTGTCCGGGTAAAGTGTTGGAGAGCTCTTGCTGCAGCAGCAGTGGCCACAGCAATAAAGTCGCCGCGGGCTCTCTTGGGTCGCGTCTCTAGATCCTAGGCGGGAAGGGTTGGGCCTTGTTGTCATTGGGCCGTGGCGCGGCCGACTGGCTCCGCGGACGGGGGCGGAGCCGCGGTACCTGCCCGCAAAGCACCGCCCCTGGGCCCCGCCCGGGAGTTCGCGGCGACCCTGGGCCCCGCCCCTGTCCGAGGCTCCAGGGTCTCCAGGGCTGGGTACCGGGTCCCTCCGGCCGGGATCCCCAGCGCCCGCGCTCAGGTGCCTCCGCTGGGAGGTGACCCGCAGCCCAGGGACCACCCGAACCCCTTCCGGTCGGAAGCACCCCGCAGGTCGGACCGGAAGGGGCGCCTCAATCCTGCAATGTGACAAAGGAAGTCCCGCCTCTGCCGCGCCGCTGGCACCGCGGACGCCACCGATCTCCGAGCCGGTCTCGGAGGGGCGGGCAGGTGAGGACCTCCATCTAGGAGTCCGCGTTTGTATCCAGAGACGTGACGCTCAGCGACGTCCTGAGCTAGGATGTGGAGCTTCGGGGGGAGCGGAGACAAAGGCAGGCCTGGGAGCCTGTGGGTGGCGGCGCAGGGGGCCTAGCTCGACTCTAGACGCGGAGAGGTCTGGGACTAGAGCGATGCCCTCACGCAGGCATTACGGAGTTAGTATCCGTCGCCAGCTCCCCAAATCCCAGCTCTTCCTACCCTTACCGAAACTTGAAAACCCCTACTTCTTGCCCCTGGGACCCAGATCTAGACATAACCCTAGGTCCTAGACACTCCTTTCTCCTTTCCCCTTGTACTGACTTCTGGCACTTTGTGTTTCCTTCTAGATTTGTTTCTGGAGCTGCCATGATTGAAGTGGTGGCTGAACTGAGTCGAGGTCCTGTATTTCTGGCGGGGGAGGCTCTGGAATGTTTAGTGACTGTCACTAATCCCCTGCCTCCGACCGCCACTTCTGCATCCAGGTGGGGATGCTGGTACTGAAGGTGGCGGCCCCTCCGGGAGGAAGCCTGGTATCACTCGCTCCTTCTAAACCAGAGCTTTGGTTATCCTGTAACTGCACTACCATCACCACCTACTTTGCTCGTTGTAGGGAAGAGTTTTTCAAAAGAGATATGGATGACATGGTCCCTACCACCTGTCCTCCTCCCTCTTTGAACTTGTTGCGCTTTGCTTTGTGTAATTAATGGTTTCCCATTGGTGATCTTATCAGACAGTATCAGAGGGAAAGCATTTGTGAAGTCTATCTCCGCATCCCTTCTTTTTCCTTTTCCACAGTGAGGCTCTGGCCTGGGCCAGTGCCCAGATCCACTGCCAGTTCCATGCCAGTGAGAGTCGAGTAGCCCTGCCACCCCCGGACTCTAGTCAGCCAGATGTCCAGCCTGACAGCCAGACTGTCTTTCTGCCACACCGAGGTTAGAGACAGAGTATTTGTCTTGGAGGGAGGGGAAGTCGTTGTCACCCAAGGGTAGAGTTAAGTTGTTCTTGTATGATGCAGTCACCAATGCATCACGAGTGAGGGGAAGGTAGCTATTGGTTTGGGGCTATGAAACTCCCCGTACTACAACAGAAAGAGTTGGCAGCTCTTCCCTGTCTCCGCTTGCTGTGTGACCCTGGTCAATAACGGACAACAGAGTAATTTCATTGCATTCTTTCTCTTTCTTACTTTCCATAGGTGAGAGGGGTCAGTGTATTCTTTCTACTCCACCAAAAATTCTGTTTTGTGACTTGAGGCTAGACCCTGGCGAGTCCAAATCATGTGAGTGATTGTCCCCCAGCCCAGAACTGCCTACTCAGTTCCCTGGAAGGGGGATGCTGACGGCCTCCAGCTGCCCTGACTACTGTTTTCCCGCCCAGACTCCTACAGCGAAGTGCTGCCCACAGAGGGACCACCTTCCTTTCGGGGTCAGTCAGTCAAGTACGTCTACAAATTGACCATTGGCTGCCAGCGTGTCAACTCGCCCATCACTTTACTCAGGGTCCCTTTGAGAGTTCTTGTGCTGACTGGTGAGCCCGGTTCCTGGAGGGAAGGGGTGGGGTGGAGGCTTACCAAGCATAGTCCCAGAGGACCTGCAGGGACTCCTGGTATTAGGGACAGTGCTGGGGAGGAGGTGGGGGGGTAAGCTGAGACCTTCAGCCTCCACAGGTTGGACTCTCAAACCCGTTGTCTGTGTACATCTCTGATCCCTCCCGGTGTTACCTCTGCTCAATTCTGTCTAGGTCTTCAGGATGTCCACTTTCCCCAGGATGAGGCGGTGGCTCCATCCAGCCCATTCTTAGAGGAGGACGAAAGCAGCAAGAAGGATTCATGGCTAGCCGAGCTGGCTGGGGAACGCCTCATGGCTGCCACCTCCTGCCGCAGCCTCCGTGAGAATCCTTTCATAATTGCTCTGATCCAACTTTTCCCTCAGTGTGTCCCTGTCTGAAAAGTCTTCTGTCTACTACATCCCTTTATGGTCCACTAATATCTTGCCCCCATTGGAAAGAAAAGCCTCGTGTTCTGGCCTCTGAGACCCAGTCCTAGATATTCCCTAGTGTAAATGTAACCTTTTGGTATCTATTCTCCCCAGATCTGTACAATATCAGTGATGGCCGAGGGAAAGTTGGGACATTTGGTATCTTCAAATCTGTGTATAGACTCGGCGAGGATGTGGTGGGGACCTTAAACTTAGGGGAAGGAACTGTAGCCTGTTTGCAGGTGAGAAAGAAACAGCTTTATTGTGCTTGGCCTGAAGGGCAAGGGTGGAAGAGGGGCCTGCATGAAGAGGGGTGGTTTGTAGAAGTGGAAATTGGGGTTCCTCAGGGCTACCACTCACCTGCAGTCCAGATTTCCAAATGCCTGCTGGTATACGTCTCTCTTCTTGCTCCCAGTTTTCAGTAAGCTTGCAGACCGAAGAGCGTGTGCAGCCTGAATACCAGCGGCGCCGTGGGACAGGAGTTGCCCCTTCGGTGTCCCACGTGACGCATGCCCGGCACCAGGAGTCCTGCCTCCACACAACTAGAACCAGCTTCTCTCTCCCCATCCCTCTTTGCTCTACCCCTGGCTTCTGCACTGCCATCGGTGAGAACCTGACTGTTACTGGAGAAAGGAGTCTGGGAAGTAAATGCTGGGCTTTCGGAGAGTGTAATGATCCTAAAACTCCCGTGTGGCATGCATGCCCACATCCAGCCCAACCAAAAGATGCATTTTCTTACATCTTTCCATCTAAGATGTTACGTACTTAACTTAAGATGTTACTCTGTTAACAGCTTTATAAAACACTGTTCCTGCCCTGCAATGCACTGATCTCTGGCTTCTTAACACATTATTTCAAGCTGCCTAGTCTTGACTATCCTGACCTTGGGTTGCTAGGTAGTTGACACTGCTATCCTTAATGGCCTCTCTGGGTAACATATTAACACACCAGGCTTCTTAGAAACAAAGTGATTAATTGAAGCTCCTGCCCTGTGTCTTCTCTTTATGAATACAATCTGTTTTAACTTTCTTTTCTTTTTTTTTTTTTTAATTGTTTTCTGAAGTGGGGCTTTCTTTGTTTCACCTTGAACCAACTCTGTAGACCAGACTGGTTGTGAGATTAAAGGCATGTGCCATTACTGCCTACCTGTTTTTTGTTTTGTTTTGTTTTTTTGTTTTTGTTTTTAAGAGAGGGACTCATTGTACCTCTGGCTGGCCTGGAGTTCATCGTGTAAACCATGTTGGCCTCAAACTGCAGAGATCCACCTGCTTCAATCTCCTCTTTCTGAGCAATGGGGTGAAAGGCATGCACCATCACACCCAGTCAGAGAATTTTAAATTCATTCATTTTCTTTCATGTATGTGTCTGGGCATATGCCCCACAGCAAATGTGGTGGTCAGAGGACAACTTTCTGGTTGTTCTTTCCACCGCGTGAGTCCTGGGGATCAGATTTAGGTCGGCAGCCTTGGTGGCAAGTCCCCTTAACCTGCTGAGCCATCATGATGGGTCTTATTTCGGGTTTTTTTTTTTTAATTTACTGGCTACATCCCATCACTGACTTTACCACCTACCACTTGCTTGCTCTTTTTTGATATTAGGGTCTCATGTAGTCTCCCAGCTGGCATCAAACTGACCCTAAGCTTGTGGTCTCCCGCCTTCACCAAATGTTGGAATTCCGGGCATGTGCTACCATACCTGCTTACCTGCTTTAGAGCAGTGGTTCTCAACTTTCTAATGCTGTGACCCTTTAATACAGTTCCTCATGCTGTGCTGACCCCCAACCATACAATTATCTTTATTACTACATCATAACTGTAATTTTGCTACTGTTATGAATGGTTGTGTAAATAAATATCTCTTTTTCTGGTGGTCTTAGGCAACCCTGTGAAAGAGTCCCACAGGTTGAGAGCCACCATTTTAAAGTAGCTCTCTCCATCTTTTTCTTTTACAGTGTCCTTGAAGTGGCGACTGCATTTTGAGTTTGTAACATCCCGGGAACCAGGATTGGTTCTTTTGCCCCCATTGGAGCAGCCTGAACCTGCGACCTGGACGGGACCTGAGCAGGTGCCTGTAGACACCTTCAGCTGGGACCTCCCCATCAAAGTGCTTCCTACGAGCCCCACCCTGGTCTCGTATGCTGCTCCAGGCCCCAGCACCAGCAGCATAACTATCTGAAGGTGGCCCTCATGCCCACCATGACACTAGTTTCTTCAAGACATTGAAAACTCAACAGCTGGACCTGGTGGGGCCCGCTTTTCCCACCTGGGACCCTGCCGCACAGCGATGAGAACCAGGCTTTCAGCTGTGGCATTGATTTATTTATTCAGAGTAAACGGGCAGCTGCTAGTGGTTTCCCTGGAAGTGGCAGCAGCAATGGGCAGTCAGCAGATGGGTGATCCTTTAGCTGGAGTGGGGAGCAGGAGCTCTAGGAACAGGGGTGTTAGCTGAGCCCCATTCTAGGTCAGGTCCTCCCCCTTTGCAGGGCAGCCGAGGGTCAGATTTTTGCACCAGAGAAAACTGACAGGTTCCTGCTTCCTGGCGTACTTCACACCCAGCAGGGAAGTCAATGGGATGTTGAGACCTAGAAAACCAAAGATTGGGAGTCGGTGCAGTAAAAGCTGTTCTTATGGTGTGCCCTTCCCTCTCATACTGTCCCCCCTCCCTGGTATCGTCTGGTGTCCCCCAGACTCTCCAGCTCAGCTCTCTATAAGGAGCTCTTAGTCTCCTAAGCAGGAGTATGTCCCTCCAGATCTACCTCAACTCCTCTTACTCATTGGTGCCTTCACCTCTGTGGTCGCATGATGCTCTCCTGCTTATTCTTGCCTCACAGAAATTAGTTTCCCCGGCCGCCCTCCCTCCATCACAGCAGCGGCATTCCCTCTGCCACTCTGGGTCGCTTACGTGTCGCAGCAGCCCACACCCACGGGATGCAGACAGGTGCAATGGAAGCAATCCTTGCGGAGCCAGGATTCCCCCAGAGTGAAGTATTTCCCATCGTAGTGGCAGGGAGCTAGGGAAGAGAGAGAACTGATCAGTTGGTAGGTGAAGACGGCGTGTCGGCAGCAGTCTCCTCTGGTCTAGGGTGGAGAGAAGCCGTGGATACTAGCCCTGTTATCGTCCCTCCTGTGTCACAGGTGAAGGACTGAATTTATACGTACATATTCTAACAGGGTCATCTCTGAGCTGTTGTCTCCCCTCATTTCCCTTAAGCACCAGTCCTCCTTACCTTGAGCTTGGAAGTAACACTTGCTGTTAACTCCTGGGTGCTGCAGAAGCAGAGACACCACCAAGCAGATGGTCCTCCAGCCTCCCAGGATCCCCTTGCCCTGTCCAGCCCAGAGCATCCTCAGAGCCATTCCTGCAGCTCAGCTCTCTCAGACCCTGCCTGGCTTTTGTTCAGACTCTTCTGGCCTTATCCCTTTGCTTTTCTTGCCTTGCTCCTTGACTCCTGAGTGTCTCTCTCCTTGGGCTCTGTCTCATACCATGGCAGTGCCCTCTGCTCTTACAGGCTGGGGATGTTTATAAAGTGAGGACCCTGGCCCCCTGCTGAGCAGAACTGGACAGGCTGTCGCTCTGTTTCCTGAGGTGAGGGCATGAAAACAAGAGGTCCTGCTTTTAACAAGCTGTGAGGGCTGATTCATGCCCCCACACAGCTAGGAGGAGGGAGGTGGCCATGGAAGGGGCACTGGACTGGGCACTTCCCCAGCTGGGAGGGGGAGGGTTGAAGGCCCCAGGTGGTCCCCAGATCTCCTTGACCTGCAGAGAGGAAGCATTCCATCAACCCTCCCTCCACCACCACCAGGGGTGTGTGTGCTGGGATCCCTGCCTGGACCGGAGGGAGGCATTTCCTGGGGATGGCTAATCCTGTGCCCCAGCCAAACCAAGGAGCTGCAGCAGGGTGCAGCTGCCAGAGGCTCCAGGAGAGCAGGCAGGCATCTGGAGTGGAGGGCATGTTTCCTTTAGTTCCGGGGGGGGGGGGGGGCCGGCGGGTTTCCCTGGTGCATCTGAGAAATGGCTATCCTCAGCATTATGGAGAGAGGGATTCATCCATGGGCACCCCAAAGGTAAACTTTCTGTTGTTTTTTTATACCCACTGGGTAGCATTTACAAGATTGCCCTATCCCTAGCAATGCCCTCCCTCAAAGAGAAGCATCTCTGCCTAGTACCCCCACAGATCATTCCCCTTCTACTGAGGTGCTCCCTCCCTCACGATGGAGCAAGGCCTCGTGGGCTTTCGTCTTTGGCATTCTTTGAGTTGTGCAGGCTCTGGAAGACTAGTTTCAGGTCGTCACTCTTACTAGCCGTCTGACTCGCACAAGTCACTTCCCCTCTGTCATTCTTTCTTCCTATCTGTACCTTGCCAGCTCATGGGCTCATCGTGAGATAGCACATGGAATGTTCTTAGTAGCATCTTTGGCCCGTGACCCTCAGAAAATAGCCTCTTCTTGAGGCTAAAGGTCAGAGACAAAATGCTGGTGACTCTCTGGAGGACAGTAAGCTGCTCGCACAGCTGAGGTCTGTGTTGTGAGCTGCCCTCTCCAGGCCACACTTGTGCTCCACGGTCCCTACCGCCTGCTGGTAGTGCTCCACGGTACCCTACCGCCTGCTTCAAAAACAGATGTGGCCCTGTGAGCATTTTGGTTTCAGTCGTTAACATCTGGAGTTCCTCACCTGATTTAAGCTGCTTTTCCTACCACAGTACCTTGGGAAGAGGAATCTTCTCACCCTCCCACTAGCTTTAGGACTCTGCTTTGTCTTCTTTGATCCTGACCCCCCCTTTTTTTTTCCTTGTCCCCTCGTGTGGATCTCAAGTCTCCAATGTGACACTTGTGATAATAGTTTATCTATTACTAAGGCCCTGATCTAACTGGTCCTCTTTACTTTTTACTTCCCTGCATATCAAAGGCCCCGCTGCTGTCCCAACTGTCCCTCTCCTGCTGACAGGACGTTTGCTCTGGGTTTCATTCAAGCCTATAGTCCCGTGCAACCAAACTTTCACCTCGTCCAGCAGATATGACTTACTTCTGGCAGGCTTCTGTAGAAGCCACCCTGCCTGCCATCTCTTCGTCCAGCAGCCACTGTCAGTGCCCCTCTAATTCCTTAGCTGTCTTCCTCCAAGATACCTTTGGCTTTGGCTGGGGATGCAGTTCAGTGATAGAGTGCTTGCCTACCATCTCTGTGTCATAGGTTCCACCCCTGCACACACACACACACACACATTTGGGTGAAAGAAAACAAGATTCCCTTTTAGAGGGGTGTCAAGACAAAAACAAAGGAAAACTTAGGGTACACCCAGGTAGGCTTTTGCGTAGAGGCCATGGCCTTGACTCCCTGATATCTTGACTGGAGAAGGGATTAGAAGACATCAAGCACGCACAGGGTTTAGCAGTCTGGTCATTAGTTAGCTCTTCCTCCGCTTTGGGGGACCCACCTGAAGGCTGAGCGTAGACTATCTTCTACATGCACTACAGACTAGACGTGGGAGCGAGTGGGAAGCTAGAGACCCTGGAGGCAGTGGAGGTGCTGGAAGTGGACCTGGTGGGCACTGGTGTGTGAGCCACACTGCATTAGAAGATAGGATTAGCCTCCTGGAATGCAGATGAAGCAGGCATGTCACTGTGAGAGCGTCGGGAAGGAGGCTGGAGCTGAACAGGACTACTTTCTGAGGTCGCGGAGCAGTATAGAGCTGGTCAACAGCCTGGCCACTGCGGTGAATGTGTAGGGGTATCAGTGGCTTACGTCCAATCCGCTGGGTCCTTGGAGAGCAGCCTTTGGAGCAAGGGGCAGGGCGGGAGTTGGGGTGGGAGTTGGCACAGGCCACCTGTGCAGGGACAAGGAAAATATCCGCTGGAGGTGGGCCAGGCTGTGTTCCAGCAGTGCAGGCAGGTGCTCAGAGTGAGGAAGTGAGCACATTCCGGGGCTGAGTCACCCCAGTTGCCGCTTTGCCCAGAAGGTACAGAGCATGGCCTTTGAAGATCATGGCTATGGGAGATTTGAGGACCGAACCCGGGGAGGGGAAGGTCTTGAAAGAGCCCAAAGAAATCAAGGAATGGGGCTGTCTAGCTGGCACCACAGTGTGAAATGCAAAGCCCCTAAATTCACAGCTTGTTTCTGAATAGAGACAGCCAGGCAGGGTAGAGCCCCTGGGAAACTTGAGGGGAGAGGCAGAGGAAAGGTCTTACAGAGGCTTCCCAGAGAGAGCAGATCCAGGAAAACTGGGAGGCAGGCATTGGGGCTCACCTGAGTTAGGCTTCTGAGAACAAAGTAACCAGCATCCCAGCAGCAGGGTGTGCTGGGCCAGAGATGTCTGTCCAGAGGCCTGTGTGAAGGACGGGCTTCAGGGAGTGCGGAGAGTTGAGTGATCTGGATCTTTGCAGTAGTTCTTGGTTCTGGAAAGGCTTGCTGTGGTGGAAAAACGATGCGTGGATCTCTTGGGTGGACTGGGACATCGTGTTGGCCGGTGCAGCAAAGGTAGTCAAGGGTGTGAAAACAAAGCCATCTCTGTCTGCCATAGTCACCAGCCCAGCACTGAGAAATCTCAGGAGGGTTGCCACTAGTGTGAGGCCAACCTGGGCTACAGAGCAAGACCCTATCTTAAAAAACAATTTGTTCTTACTAAATTTTAAAACAAAATCTTGAATAAAAGTTGAAAATCAATGTCATGTGTTTGATTTAAAACTGACACTTAGGTCACTAGGATTAGTTTTTTGGGGTCTGGAGAGATGACTTGGGGTTTAAGAGCATTTATACTTGAAGACCTGGGTTCGGTTTCCAGCACCCAAATGCTTGTTCATAACCACTCGTAATCCCAGTATCAGGGCATCTGACACCACACTCTTTTCTGATTTGGGGCACCCAGCATACTATACTCATTGTTCACGTCCGGACATGGATGGAAGACTCTCATCCACATGAATAAAACTTAAAGCATCCTAAAAGATGAGTTATAGCCGGGCGGTGGTGGTAGCACTCAGGGAGGCAAAGGCAAGTGGATCTCTATGAGTGTGAAGCCAGCCTGGGCTACAAGAGCTAATTCCAGGACAGCCAGAGATACACAAAGAGATCCTGTCTTTGGAGGGGAGGGGAAATTAGTTAGATTGCCAAACCTAGTGGTTTCAGTCTGTGCTCGCATCACTTGGGATGGGGTGGCTGAGGCAGGAAGCTCCTCTTGAGCTGGTGAATTCCAGGGCAGAAAGAGGAAAGAAAGAGAAAGCTGAATACAGTGTTGGATGTTTTCCTTTTCTGATCTGAGGCTCCTGCGGATTCTGAACTGCACTGAATTCTGCATATCCGTCTCGGTTCTTATCAGCAGTACACTTCTGCTTCCCTTTCCTTTATTTAATTGTCTTTATTTTTAACCTTAACTTTTCCTCCACAGCCCTTTATTTAGCTTGTCCCATGTATTCTGACCTAAGTAAATGGTTCCTTAGGACGGGATACTGAATTCCAGTATGCAAAGAAAAGCGGGTCTCGATCCTGTCGTGTGTGCTGGGTACTGACTGTCTAGTGGGGACTGGTAGCCACTGTGAGTTTCTGTGTTTGTTCTGTGGTGGGTAAGAGGAAGACAGCCGTCTAACTCAGTAGCGTTTCCACAACGCAGTCACTGACTCTGACTTCAAATGGATTTGTTTGTCTCAGAAACTGACACGCTCTATCTTGGTCCTAATTTGTGCGCTCTTACACCAAAGGCGTTGCAAGGGTGAGGATCTTCATAGTCTAAAGAGCACTAAACTCTGCAGTTGTCTTTGGTCCGAAACAAGAAAACTAGGTCAGTTAGTGAAAAGAAGAAAATGTCCTCTTTGGAGCCCTGTTGCTTTGTCCCGTGGTGTTCCAGCCCCGGCCCTGCCTCCTTCCCAGTGGCCCGGGCTTTATTTCTTCTTTGCTCTGCTGGACTTCTTGAGAGGAAAACTCCACACCAACTTCCTCTGCTATAAATTTTCTCCTTCCTCTCATCTCCTCACGTCTTTTTGCCAACATACACCACTACTTATTCACTCCCTTTTTAAAAAAAAGCCCACGGCCCTCCTTGGCTCTTTTCCGTCTTTAACACCCTTGTGGAAGTGCCCTATTTTTCTTTGATGTGTCCTTTGGTCTCTAAAAAGCTCTGCTTTGGCTATTTATTCTGCACGGTCCATTTCTGCCTTCCTTCCTCCGCTATCGCTTTTTTCCTTTTTTTATCCTAGATCATTTCTAAACCGCTTTTTATCCCAGCTCTTACCTTTCCTTGTGATTAAACTCCTTCCTCCAGATACAATAAAAGATGTTTGTGTTCCTATTTTATTATCACCATTATTTTGTTTTTAAGTTCTCAGTGGCCGGAGATGTAACCTGGTGACATGCTTGACTAGCGTACAAGGCCCTGGTTCAATCTCCTCCAGTACCATCTGGGCTTGGTTGCGCATGCCTACAATCCAACCCTCAGAAGGTGGAAGCAGGGTGATCAGATGTACAAGTTCAGCCTCAGCTACATGACACAAGGCCAGCTTAGACTAGTAAGAACTTGTCTCTAAAGGAAAATAAAAGCATTTTGAGATTCACATTTCTTGTAAATTCTTCTCTTAACCTGGCGTGTCCAGAATTGTAGTGAAACTCACTGATGGGTACTCTAAGTTCATGGTCGACACCGTGTGAAGAGTTTCATAATTCTGGATCCTAAGTGCTTTCCAAGCAAGGATGCCATCATGTAGGTGCATGATGCTATCATGTGCACATATACAAATAGCAGCCCAAGGCAAATACATACAAATATGGATATTCAGTATATCACCTTAGAGTAGGCATTACATTTTGGGGATGGAAGATGACATTGGTTTCTGTATTCAGCCTGGAGACGGGTCAGAGGGGAGTCACTCACTCCTACGGACTTGAGACCTCACCGAGGAGGTCGAGTGTCCAGCGTTAAGATGGTTTGTAAGGCTGAGGTGAATGGCAGGAACATGGATGGGGGTGCCGAGTCTAAGGGTGTACAATGGCTATGTCTGAGACTATGAAGAGTCCTCTGTAGTCTGAGTGCAGCTATGATCTGTCTGCTAAGACTCACTGAGACTGGGTGCGGGGTAGGCGAAGGCAGGAGGGTTGCCAAAAGTCTGAGGCCAGCCTGAGCTACAGAGTGAGCTCCTGTCTCATCCCACCTTGTCGCTGTCCCATTGGAGCCGTTCTCCAATGGGACATTATTGAAGTAATGGAGAGTTTATATTATTTTTGCTTGTAAGTTATTATGTTCATGGTAGTTCCTCCCACCAACAATTATCTCCAGCTCACAACCTCACTGACGTCCCTATTCACCTGTGTGCTTTCTCTCTGCCCTGCTACATCATCTGATTGTAATAATTGTGACTTAAAATTCCACTTGTTGCTCTTGCCCTTCTCACATTTGTAAATTGCTTACATTTTTTTAGACCTTTGAAAATTTCACACATACACACATGTATTTTGATCGTATTTCCCCCACTCCTCCCCTAACTGTCCACCCTACCACTATTTTCTTCCTTTTTTTTTTTTTTTTTTTTTTTGAGACAGGGGTTTTGGCTGTCCTGGAACTCACTCTGTAGACCAGGTTGGCCTCGAACTCATGGAGATCCACCCGCCTCTGCCTCCTGAGTGCTGGGATCAAAGGTGTGCGCCACCTCCTCTGCCCCCTATTTCCTAAAACAGACTTAAAACTAGATTACTAAAATAAAAAGTTTCCAGTGTTTTGTTTGATTTATAATTCTACTCATTGAAAACAGTAGTCTGCTGGGCTCTCTGCTAAACGGAGTAGATTGCGTCCTGCTGGGACAGGGGCTGCCTGCTGTACTGTTACATAGCTTCTTAGCTTCTGTCCTCCAGAACTGTAACACTGTTCTGTTTTCTGTTCGTCTTGGCATTTCCAAATTCTCTTGGAAACAATTTGGGAGAATTATTATTATTATTATTGTTTTTGTTGTTGTTAGTTTTTTATTTTAAAGACTTTGTTTGTTTGTTTTGTTTTCTGTGTTGCCCTGGCTGTCCTGGACCTCACTATGTAGACCAGGCTGGCCTGCCTCTGCCTCCCAAGTGCTGAGACTAAAGGTATGTTCCACCACTGCCCATTTTAATGTTCATGAATTTGCATATCATTTTTGCGCAGGGGCCATGCTAGTCTCTGTATCATTCCAATTTTAGTATACATACTGCCGAAGCGATCATAAGAATTATTTTTACAACATGACTCGGTTTCTATGATAGTCTTTGCTTTGTGTTTTGTTTTTGTGGTATTTTGCTTTGTTTTGAGACAGTCTCACATTGTATCCCTGATAGCCTGGAACTCTCTATATACACCACACTGGCCTTGAATTCACAGAGTTCACCAGTGTATCTGCCTCCCCAGTGCAGGGATTATAGGTGCTCACAATGCCCAGCAACCATCTTACTTTTTGAGACAGGGTGTCTCACTAAACCATTTCTGCTGGAGTGACTAGATTTGCCTATCCCTGTCTCACCCGTACTGGGATTATAGGTGTACACCGTCACATCTGGCTTTTATGAGGGTGCTGGGAAGCTGAACAGGGGCCCCCAAACCAGCACTTTGCTCACTGAGCTATTTCCCCATCCCAGAAGCTACTTTTAAAAATTAGATTTAAAATTTTTATTTATGTGTGTAGGTGTTTTGTATAGGTGTTTTGACAGTGCACGGCATTTATGCCTGGTGCCCACAGAAGCCAGAAGATGGGATGCCCTGGGACTGGCGTTAGAGATGGTGGTGAGTCGCCAGGGGGGTGCTGGGAATCAACTCTGGGTCCTCTGGCCGGCCAGTGCTCTTAGCCACACTAAGCCATCTCTCCAGCTCCACAGAAGCTACTGCTTGTGAGTTTTGTTTAAGAGATAGGAAAGGAGACGGGAACAACAGACAATAAAGGAATGTGAGCAAGACAGTAACAATGAGCCAAAAGAATGAAAGGAGGATGAGACACTGACAGTGTAGGGACACAGCTGCTGTGTCCTCGGTGGACCAGGCGTATTTATGCTTAGTAGATTGGCAAAGAAATGATAAGCCTCTTTAACAGACCTGGATGCAAAACAAAGGGTCAGAGAGCTGGCTTAGCAATCAAGAGCACTTGGTGCTCTTGCAAAGGACCCAGACTTGGTTCTCAGCACCCATGTGAGAATTCACAGCCAACTCCAGATTCTGCGCTGAGATTCCCTCCTCTGGTATCCATGGGCACTGTACATAGATGAGGCACACACATGCATGCAGGCAAACACTCACACACACATGAAATAAAAAGAAATCTTTTTTTAAATGCAAAACTTAAAAAGCTGACCAAAATGCTGTCTGTAGTGTGTCTGTCGAAGTAGCTTTGAGGTGTGTTGCAGCTTTTAGGGTCTGGAATGAAAAGAAAACGTTAGATATTTCTTCAAAAGAATGCTCAATTAACTTCCGGGGTGGTAGCATGTCTGTAACCCCAGCACTTGGAAGGCTAAGGTGGGAGGGTTGCCTCAAGTTTAAGGCCAGCCTGGGCTATATAAGTACCAGGCCAGTCAGGGCTACACAGTTAGACACTGTCTAAAGCAAGACAAAAACAAAACACGGCGTCTTTGACCTTCTTGGTAGGAGACAGCCTCATGAACTCTTCAATGAGCTACCAAATCAGAAATGCTAGACATGAAATCCAGAGATCTGAATTTTATATGACAATCCCTTCCACCCTCCATTAAGTAACTCTTCTGTCCTAGGCCTGACCCTCCTGTGGCATAGCTGTTACCTTGCCCACATTTTTCCCTGCACGTCTTCCTGGTGCTTTAGCTCTGCTTCCACTCTTAGCCTCTGATGCCAACGCAAATAGGGAGGCCTCAGGTTACCAGGACAACCAAAGCACAGGAAACCATAAAGGTTCAGCACCCCCACAGGCATCATGGCCAGTGACTGTGGTGATCGCTTTTTAATTAGGGACCAAGTCATGCATCTTACACCCTGTGTCCCAAAGTCCTGATGCTAGAAGGTACCCCAGCCCACACCACACCCTCATTTCCTGAGGTGGTGGGATTTAATGGGTCTGGGGAGGGACAATGAATGAAGCTTTTGTTCCAACACTGCTGTTTCATATTGCCTTGATAGCAGTCAGATTTTGTAGTGAGAATTGTATTTCCCTGAAGTCTGGTTAGATCTCAAGCTTGGACGGCAGGATGCTTCCATGTATTTACCTTACTGATTCCTATTACATTGAGCCTCTGGTCTTGAATGGTTTTTTTCATACTCTCTCCCCAACTAGATGTCTTCATAATTTGCTTTGAACCAAAAGGTTTAGCTATCTACTTTTGATACACTGAGAGCAGCTAGTGTTTAGCCTGGATGGAATAGTGGCCAAATAATAAAATGTGGGTTCTACTTATGTGTCGTTATCAGAGCTAGTCAAGAGCACTTATCTAGCGTAAGTTCTTTTAAAGTCAGCAGTAAAAGAAAATGAAAATCTACTTGTACTTAAATACTTAAAAAATGTTGAATTGAAGCTGGACTTGGTAGTTCATGTATGTAATCCCAGCACTAAGGAGGAACGGCCTGGACTAGAGTAAGATGTGTGTGTGTGTGTGTGTGTGTGTGTGTGTGTGTGTGTGTGTGTGTGT